CCACAACCACCACAACCACAACCACCACCACAACCAACCACCACCACAACCTCCACCACCACCACCACAACCACCACCACAACCACCACAACCACAACAACCACAACAACCTCAACAACCACAACAACCACAACAACAACAACCACAACAACCACAACAACCACAACCACAGCCACAGCCACAGCCACAGCCACAGCCACAGCCACAGCCACAGCCACAGCCACAGCCACAGCAACAGCAACAGCAACAGGAACAGCAACAGCAACAGCAACAGCAACAGCAACAGCAACAACAACAACAACAGCAACATCAGCAACAGCAACATCAACAACAGCAACAGCAACAGCAACGGCAACGGCAACGGCAACGGCAACGGCAACGGCAACAGCAACAGCAACAGCAGTTCGATTGAACGCGGCGCGAGCGTGCTCTTCGCGTGGCGGGCGCTGGACTTAGCAGACACTCGGTGAAACTGAAAGGACAAGACCGAACTTGCTACCCACGACGAGACTTGTCAAAGGCACTGCCGAAAAGAGCTAGGAACTACGCCATTCACCGGTGAGAGACTTGATGGCATGGACGGATGTACAACCTCCGACACCCTAAGTGTGTACTGTCGCGTCCGACGCACACGGACCAACGTCTGCTGAGTCGTACCTTGACGAGTCGAGGCCGGGTCACTTACAGACGAAGGCGATGGGCCGTAAGGACCTTATGTACCTGTGCAAGGCAGTTGGTGGTACCACAGTATGAGCGTGCTGACTTTTGGCTTTCCTGTCTGCGCACTTTTTGTCGTAGTCTGCTAGAACGGCAGCACCAGTTCGGGAGCTCCATGAGAGCTTGCCTTTGGTGCCGCAAAAGTGCTGCAGCAGTGTGCAACAACAACAACTACTACTACTACTGCTACTAATGCTACAGTAGCACGGGCATTACCTCGTACCGCTGACTCGCCTTCGTTGTTTTGTGCTTGTAGGCACGCACCGTAATTTCAAAATTTTCAGGAATCATCATAAGATGAGCGTACACATCATAATCAAGGTCATACCTGTGATTGGCAAGTGATCTTCCTTTTGTGACCTTCTCTCTCGTTGTAGACCAAAGCTACTAGACCCTCGAATCCAACCGACCGAGGCATGTTCTTCCAAGATGGCCTCACCGGCTCCGCATGGGGCCGCTGGGTTCCGTGATCCGTGATGCTTGATGTTTATGGGTTTTTCAAATTTGATGCCTTCAGTCCTGGGGATAAGGCGGTAAGGCGATAGGGTATTTAGCTCAAAGTTTAACGCCCTCAGCGACTTTCAAACCCCATCCCTGACCTTCAAACCTCGAAGACCCCAAGCTCCAACGAAGAAACTGATGCTGGAGCTTCGAGCCTGGACCTCGACCATCCCGCAGCCTAGTGACCGGCTCTTCTGAGGCGACTGGGCCAACTACACCGAGTCCCCTCTCCGAGCCTTCGAGGTCAGCGGGGCCTTTTCTGTTTTTGTTGATGTTTGTTTCTGGTGTCCAGGCGTTTGTCTATGGAGTGTTGGGTTTCGCGGTCAGGTTTCGGAGCTTGGGGTTTTGGACTTTCCGTTGGGCTTCTGGTTTTGAGTTTTTGTTGGGCTTGCTGCATTCTGCATAGGGTCTAGTGTTAATGGGTTAGTGTCTACAACATGCGACTGAGCCGATCTGCACCTCAGGAGGAGCTGGGTGTGCAGGCGCCTGTGGGCTTCTGGGCGCCTCGGCTTAAGCAAATGGATGTCCTGTGTGTTTTTGACTCGTCACACTACAAGGAAGGTACCAACTGTTAGGTAAGTCTCGGAAAGATGCCAATAAAAAGAGGGTTCCTAAAAAGGGACCCTGACAAGAAAGCCCCACATGCAACGGCTAGACTCTGCCATCCTTCTTGAATTGAGCTGCATCGCTGAACAAGCTGCAGCAAGTCACACCGCCAACAGCCCTAAAAGCAGGCTTCGAGCATCGGATGTGCCGCACTTCATCGCTCGAAATTTGCACGTACATGCATGCATACACACATATGCAGACAGCTGGCCATTGTGATGGTGAAGGCCCCAACAAGGCTTTTCGTAGTCAGCATCCGTGAACAGTGAACAAAGTGATACTAGTTTGCAAAAGTTCTGGTCCACCTCGGGGCACTCGTGCTAGAGGCTTGATTGGCTCGAAAGTGCACAAGGCTCAGAGTTCAAGAAGTGGCCTAACTCCACAAGCGAACTTGAAAAAACAAGCTTGGGTCTCGACCCCGAAAGAGTTGGCTAGGGTGGCTTGACCATCTGACGTAGCCAGAGCTGCGTGAAGTATGTATGACACAACAAGTCGCTGCGATGTCATGCCCCCTTCACCCTTGGGCTTGAAAAGCAAATCTTGAGCCCCCAACCCAACGCCTTTCCCGCATGCTATTCCAGGATCCCGTGGGCTACACCCGCGATGGATCCTTGGTTTGCAGTCTGAAAGCCTGAGGAAAGCCATCCCACGCCTGGTACATGTTTCCTAGGCAAGTAGAACTTTTCGGCAAGACTGTGCAGTCAGAAGATGTCCTTCCTACTGTTCGGGGTTTTGGTGTTGTGCTGAGTTGTGCTGTTCAGGTTTGGGATGGGGCTTTCGTTGTTCAGGGGTGTCTCATATCACTCTATGAGGGGGCGCTTGTGATCCGAAACCTCAAGATACCTTGCAACAGCGATGAAGATCTGGATCCTTGAGCCAAGCCGTCTCCAATCCCAGCCTCGAGGCAATGTCGAGACCTTCAAGCGCCGGCGTGAGACGGAAATCAAGTGCCCGGCCAAACTTGGGGCTCGGGGTTTTGGGCTTGAGTTCTGGGTTGTTCGGGTTTTGGTTCGGGGTTGAGGGCCTGCAGCTTTCCTGAAGGCAGTCGCAGGCCACATGCCTAAAGCCCGCTCCAGGCTCCAACTCCAGCGTCTGAAGCCTTGACGAAAGAGTGACCCTCAAGCGACCCTGCCTGAATCTGGAGCCCCGAAGCGGCTCCCAGAGACACACCCAACGGCTTTGGACGATTGCTTGAACACCGTGCCACAAGCTTCCAGGAAAGTCGCAGTGACCCAGGTGAGATCTTGTCAGGCGTTTGACCCTGCACCCTAACCAACCCCTTGTGTGTATGTCTCAGGTTGTCCGTGCAAACGGGAAACCCAACCCCAAATCCCAGAGAGAGACTGCAAGATCAAGGCACGGCCGCGTCGCGATGTACGCCACCCTGGGCCGCTCAGTCGACGTGTTTCAAGCTGGGATTCAGGGCTTCAGCTGGGTTTCCTGAACATTCTGAGTTCGGCACGCATAGAAGGATGATGACGGTGATGACCATGATGATGATGATGATGGTGATGCGGACTGCATCATTGGTAGACAGACCAAACCCGCCTTGAATACAACCGACACTATTCGCCTGTGGTTTTCGAGGCTACATCGTGCCTGAGTACTTCAAGTGGCCAGGCCGGGGGGAGGGGCATTTACCTGCTTGGGATAGTTGAGGCCGTTGAGGCCTGCGTTTTCGGGTTTTGGGGTGTCGTTCAAGGTTTGGGTCTAAGTGTAAGCTCTTCTACAGAACCCGGATCTTAAGCCCTAGATTCAAGACCCTATAGGCCCGGTAGCCATTCTGGCTACAGGATCTTCTGGCTAAGAAGGCCGCGGCGAGGTCGAGTTGACTCTGGGTGGGCGGCGCATGACGACAGCCTGAGTTGCAGGCAGACATTTCCGCATTTGGAGCATTCAAAAGATCGGGCTGCTTTGTCCCAACAGGTGCAAGTCTGGTTGTTGCATCGGTGGAATCGGAGGCGAAGCCTTGGTGGATGCGGCGATGTCACAAGAGGCAGACGAGGAGACCGTCCATGTCCTCGACAAGAAACTGCCGAAGTCAACTTCTGCCTATCCAGGCCAGGCTGTCAAGAATTGAAGCCTCGGAAGACTGGCCTTTGGGGCATTGGCAGGCGAATCTGGACCGATCTTCACTGGTTCCGGTTCGTCCTGACTCCAGGATCCTGGGCCCTTACGATCTCTTAACACGAAGTGTCGGGGCCGAAAGCTTTAACATGTGTAGACTTCAGTCCTAGAGACGGACCGGCGATGATCTCAAGATAGCCGCAGCTCTGATAGCTCAAAGGTATGGTCTAAGGCTTTCACCAGCAACTTGTTTAGAATTCGGGGTCATAGGATTCGGGGAGAAAAAAGCTGTTGATTCATGATGTTGAAGGCAGAAGGCTGGTTTTCTTTTGGGCTTCCACCTTCAAGCACCCCTACAATGCAGCGCGCTTCAGGGCTTGATTCCCATCCCCGACGCCCACATGCCAAACTCCGAAGCGCGAAAACCCAACAGCCTTAGCCTCAAAACCCACGGCTTTAGACCTCAAGCCTAAACAGCCTAAACCCAGCTTGTAGAGGATTCCTGTCGCCATCCCTGGGACTGAAGTTCTCCGATGTGCCCAACGGCCTGGCTGCCATCGCCAAGGTGCTCGAGGGCTTTGAGGTCTTAGGGGAGTTGGGGCTAGAGAGGTTTTTTGGGAAATTGGTCTCAGGGTTCGCGGGCCGAACGCGTCTGCATTTTGTTTTTTCCTGGGTCCGAGTGTTTAGCGTTTGGGATTAAGGGCTCGAAGACTCTCTCCACGTTGTGAACGACGTTTTGGCGTGATGCAAGGTACTTGTAGATTTGTTGGTTTTCATGTGCCTGGCATGAGCCTGGCACCCAGGTAGTAGCAAGCTTCGCAAGTTGCCAAGCGCTGGAACATCTAATCTAGAGACCGCCCAAACAGTAGACCCGAACTTCAGGGTTCCCTGAACACTCTGAAACCTTCATATCCTACGCCCCTGGAGAAATCCCTGCTCTCGAGGTGCCTGGTGCGGGCTGGGCTCAGATCGTGGCCTTCGCCGGCTACTACGAGCTCTTCGTGTACAAGTTCAACGGAACTCCAGGTCGCCTTTTAAAGTGGGATTTAGGCTCTGCATAAACCAAAGAGAGGGGCTGGGGCTCTCCCAAGTCGAGCGAAGTCACCTGACCTTTTCAACCTCATGCCCTTGCAAGGAAGCTGTGAAGCAACGCAAAAACCAGAGATGAAGGTGACTACCGTTCTTGCTCGGGTCGATTTGATATACATATATATGTATGTACATATGTATATATATATATATGTGTGTGTGTGTGTGCATGAATAGTTATATATAAATCTGTGTATGCATGCATGTATGCATTTACACATGTATGCATGTGTGCATGTGTGCATGTGTGCATGCATGTATGTGTGTGTATATATATATATGCATATGTACCTGTATATGTGCATGTACATGTGTATGTACATGTACATGTGTATGTACAAATATAGGTACAGGTGTAGGTATAGGTATTTGCATGTGTATATGTGTATGTGTATGTATATGTACATGTATGTGTATGTGTATCCATAGACTCACAGCTTCTCGTTGCACGCTTTTCCATAGTTTCGACAGCAAAAACTGAATCGCACTGTTGCCTTGGCCTTCGAAGCAAATTGCCACAGCGCCCAATGCCGCAAGCGACTGAACCCCTAGCCCTTTACTTTACGTGAACCCCCACACCCAGAACGCAAAACCCGAAGCCCCTCAGCCCTCAAGCCCGAAACTGTTGCGGAGGTGACTACGGCTGGAAGCTCATCACTGCCAGCGAGCCGGAGGCTCTCAAGAAGAAGCCCCTCTGCGCTGTTATTGTTTGGGGTTCTTTGGAGTTCAGGCTTCTTGGGTGCAGTTTTCCAGATCCTGTTGCTGGCGCCCCCGTAGCCTAACAAGCAGTTCTGTTAACCCTCAGCTTGAAATCCCCAGAAGCCTGCATTTGGTGTCCTGCATCCTGCACCCGCGGCCTGAAGACCTTAAACTCTAAAGTGTCGTAAACCGCTTCAAAATCCGCAGCCCAAAGCTCTACGCTCTAAGCCCGACGCCGAAAGAAACCCAGAGCCCTGACTGTATCGCAGAGGAGCCCTCCACCAAAAAATCAATGCAAGGTTGAGCGCAGAGATTGCCAACGGACGGCTGGCGATGTGCCGCGGCTGTAAACAAGGGGCTTGAGTTGTTAACCCCAGAGGTGATGTTGGGGGCTCTGCCGAAAGTGGAATCCTTTGAAGCTGGAGTCTGATCGGTGAAGCCCTCACAGTCTGATCGTGGAAGGAGCCCCCAAACTTCGCTCCAAGACCCACAGGCTCTTGCAGCGAATCAATATAGATATCTTGCAAGCAGTGATCCCGAATTCTGAGATGCACTCACTCGGCCTGCTGAGATCCGAAGAGCTGAGCTTGAAATCCCTCCCTAAAGAAAACAGCCAGAGCCACTCAAGCCCCTGCACTTCCCAAGCGCTAACAACCCCTTTAGGACAATCTCTAACACCCCAAAGCCCGCCAACAAAACACCCCCGATCTTCACAACGGGCCCCTAACCCGATGATCACAGGATGGCGATCATTGGCATGTTCTTCCAGGACGGACTCACAGGCCCTGTGTCTCTTGGGAGGGTCCGGGGAGGCAGAGCATGAGCATGAGCAGTCGTATGAGGCGTATGCGCTTGAGGGCTGTTCTGTTTGTTTCGCGGGCTGTGAGGGTTTTGGAGCGTTTGCAAGATGTCGACTTCTTAGCAACCCGAGCTCTGCCATCCTGTTCTACTTGGTTAGTGCAGTTGTTGCTGTCGACAGCACCTGCCGTAGAATCAATGAGGTTAATGTTCTGAGCTGAGTACAGCATCATAAACTCAAACAGTGACCATGCTGTGTTATCTGTGTGTAGGTTGATCCCCTGACAACAAAACCCCGACAGACCTCGGAAGTTTTCAACCTCCAAGGCCGTTAGAGTCCTTGCCACTGACAAAGGGGTTCACCTGCGCAGCTCTGTCCATGTACTGTATTCTGTGGTGGCTTGTTGGCAGGTATGGGATCGAATATTCTTAGGTCGGGTTCCCTTTAAGGTCAACTTAAAGGCAACTCAGGGAAGGTTCTGGTACGTATTGCAAGCTTGGCTTCAGGTTCTGTTGGTTTCGTTCTGAGCTTGGGAGTTTTACGTTTTTGGGTTTACATTACATCACACCCCAAATTTTCGAAGCCCGATGCCCTAAAAGGTTGGGGACGGGTTTCCCTCTCCGATGCTCGGCCTTAACCCTCGACTCTGGAACGACTCTGAAGCCTCAAGCAATAGGCACAATCCTAGCAACCCCTAAAAGCCAGGGAGGTTTTAAATGCCTGAGAGGCTCCGCCTGGGGCGACTGGGCCAACTACACTGACTCCCCTCTGCGCGCCTTCGAGGATCAGCCGGGAGTTGCTTGGCCAACACAACGGTTTCATCCCCTGTGCTTAGGAAGTTGGGGGTTTGGGGTTTTCGGGGTCTCGGGCTCGAGGATCTGGTGTTTGGAGGTTTTAGATTCCATCCGGGATGGAGGGATGAACCCTAATTGGCCATGTAGTGAACTCAAGAGCTAAACCGGACGAAATGCCATATCAAGCCGCAGCTTGAAGCAAAAAAGCCCACAAGCACGAACTCGACCTCTCAGGTGCAGCCACCTGTGGGCTTCTGGGATCCCCTCGGCCTCTCTGCCAGCGGAAACGTTTCGGAGCTCCGGCATCTGAAGGTGTTTCGTTGCTTGTTTTTGCGATTTGGCCTTACTTTCTTGCACAAGGCCACATGACAGTAGCGCAATAGGAGCATTCAGCTGACTCAGCTCCAAAAGCACAGTACCAACCCTCCACTCAAATCATTGTACCTTACACATAGCTACGTGTTGAACGTATCTGCAGACCCAAAGCCGAACCCTAAACTCTATGACACCAGACAGCCCAGGACTACAATCGCCGCCGTGAGGTGGAGCTGAAGCACGGACGTGTGCTCTGGCCACATCACTTCTTACTCTGAGAACGGTTGCAATGCTCCGTCTTCTTGGAATGATGGTTTCTAACGTTACCATCGCTTAATCAGGCTAGATAAATATTTGATCAATAGTCAATGAACGAACAAGAAGCTCATACGTGTGCAAGCACTACAGTATTAACCGGTATCCACTTAAACATGTGTGTACATAGGCCGGCGGGCGGACAGGCAGGCAGGTGCAGGCGCAGACAGACAAACACAGAGGTCCAAAAGTACGGAGTTTTGCTCAAAATCCAGATCTCTAACCGTATCTATCTAGCTGCACGTTTTTTTGAGAAGCCGTGTTGGTGTCGGGAGACTGATCTGTTGTTGTTTTGATAGAGCTGCTACGCCTGTCGCTGTTAGCATCTTGCAGCCTGGAGATTCGGCATTCAGGGTTCAGTGTTGTTTGCTGCTCGATAAGGGCTCAAAACCGGCCCCCAACCCGGGCTTCCAATCGAGGTGTCGATGTTCGCCACCATCGGATACATCCTGCCCGAGTACTGGAGGTCCGTTCGTGTCTCTAGAACAATAACAAGGGCGTCGGACCTACATTTCGCACCATGTCAATATAAGTTCGCGTTTCTAACCGGGGGAGTCCAAGGTTTAGCTCGAGAGCCAGCAGCACTACATTACTGCATCAGTTTTATTAAGTAGAATGTGGGTTTGTCCTTTCCAAATAGCTGTTGCTGCATCGCCAAATGGGCTCAACGACGGGCCCCTGAAAAGGTTCATCACGACATGCAGCTGTCTGGTGCGTGGGCTACCTGCGTCGTCTTCTTGAGGGCTTTGTGGCTTTGTGTCGGGCAGATTGCGCTCGGAAGTTCAGTCAAACTTTCAAACTACTGAACCGGCCGTGTGCTAACCCGCTCCATCCCCCTGCCCGAGTCTGGGCGAAAGGATTGAAGGCATCGGTACGACGACACCGCCAATCCTGGCACTTAGAGCACAATTCAGCAGCACACCACCTCAATCATGAAACTCGGAGCATTTTCAACGAATGTGAAAGTTCAGAGGAGCGACTGTGTTGTCGCTTTGACAGTCTCATTAACGGTCGCCGTCGACGTGTGTCAGCAAAGCATGTTTCTGATCAGTTTTCCGTGTTAACTTCACGCATCGTTTTGACTATTTGAGAGCGTAGGTGAAGTTTTCGTGTTCAGTCGTCCTCTTGTAGTACATAATGCTAGGATCTTGGCTAGGGCTCACATGTGGTGTGGCAACTGCCTGAAACCTTAACCCGAAACCACGACCCCAGCCCAAAAAACAATCAAGAACCTCCCAAGTCCTAAGCCTTGACCACGGTATCCGGTAGCCGTGGGCCTGCTGGAAGGTTCCCCGGCTACCTCTCCAAGTACCTGGACATNNTCCGACGTGCCCAACGGCCTTAGTGCCCTCTCCAAGGCTCGCTGGAAAAAGGGTTTGTAGAGAGGCATCATTGGGCTGTAGATAGGTTTGTGTGCCATTTGGGCAGAGACCAAGCCTTGGGCCCAGAAGATCTGGGCCCTGAACCCCACTTGGCTCCGCCCTCAACCAGAAGTCTCCAGAAAGCCTTTGTTAGTTGGCCTTCAGCCCTTTGTTCGAGGTTCCTGCCTTCGGTTGG